GAAAATATTTAACTCTCTGCTGTGGTCGTCCTTGTTTTATGGTTGCATGGCCTATTCCTCAGCCAGAAAAACGTGCGGGCAGAGACGGTGTTCGGCCCGTTCAGAACAAGCCTTGGCCAGCCTTTGCTGGCAGTGCTGCCGCCCGAATTTCTGAGGGAGCAGCTCACCCTCAGCTATACCTACCTTGCCAAACCGGGACAACCCCTTTCGGGTACGATCCTTAGATGCCAGTAAAGTAGAATATACAGCGACGTTAGACCAGGACTCGACCTCTAGGAATACGCTTCAGCGAAGCATGAGGGCTCGGGATGCCACTTGGGGTCCGCCTTGGTCGTCCCAGCCATACTCGTCGGGAAGATCTCGCCGTGTTAGCCAAGTCGTTTACTCCACCATACCTATCCGAGTTAGGTTCTTGAAGATTAAATCAACCGCTGGTTTTCGGATCGTCTTTACAAGCAAACCGTGTCAAGCCTGACGAAGGTGTGGTGTGTCGTTCCACACGGCAAAACTTTACGCGATTTGGCACGCGCTTAGGGTGGTTCTGTGAACCTAGTCTGCACCGTCTCCCTCAGCGCGATTACTGATGTCTGTGGCAGGTTTTCCGTAGGCCCTCTCGTAATGCTTTTGTGGAGAGATATCACGAATTGGAGCGTCTCGGCAAAATGGTGGTCGTTCTCTGGGCAGCACCTGGACACATTGGTCTGGAGGATAACCAAAAGGCGGACGAGACGGTTAAGGCCGGGACGTCTCAACCTCCGGACTTAACCACCGCGATTCGGCTCTCCGATTCTAAAAATGCAATAAAAAAACATGATTAAAAGAAAGTGGTAGCGTCAATGAGCCGAATTGACAGGAAAGCCCTCGCGTATCAAACATTGTCGATGGGTTGCCCTCAGAGGATCTGATTCGTAGAAGGGTCATTCATACTCACCCAATGCCATGCGAGGTTGATACACGGATACTTGCCAAGGCCCGCGTATGTGTCTGGCATGTACAGAAAGGTTGTTCGATGTATAAACACAGATCAAACTGTCGACTTGTCTGGCTTATAGACTTTATAGCTTTTATAGCTTAAATAAATTAATTTTTTCCAATTAATTTTCAACCAGGGTAAAAATACTTACGTACTTAAGGCCTCGTGCCTATTTAATATGGCTGTAGCATTGTTAATGTCATTACCTTTAATTCATTTTAAAGGTTAATGTCGATATGAAATTTTGCTTTAATTGTTTTCATTTTATTGTTATACAAACGTGAGCGCTTTGTATGCTTTTTAAGGATACGACATGACACGTTCTAAGTTTAAATTGAGGAACAGGAGAAGGAGTCGTGAATGTTGTGTCTGAACTAAACCCAGAAATTGTATGAATCCGACAAAAGTCGACGCAAAAAGTAAAGAACGAACCGAATACTGGATAAAAGAAAGATAATAGATAAAATGCAAAAGAGGTTCCCGACCTATCGAGGTCGACACCCCTGTAAAGGATCTTATTCTTTTTCTGTCCGGTTCACATTCCACTGTGAAAATGTTTAGACGTTCATATTGCGGATATATAGTTAATGCAATGATTTATTTATTTATTTTTTTTATTACAAGGGTTTGCAACAGCAGAGGTCATATAAACCCTCGGGTGCCGGTGTTTTTGAAAAAAAGCCCATTTGTAAGTATGTCGAGTTCGAATGCAGGGCCGCTGGATTCGAACCCGGGTCCTTTACCTTACAGTGATGAGCGTCGTGTCAACGCCTAAACCGTTGCGGCCACCGACGCCCCGAATGTAATGATTGTTACATCACATGTTACATATTTGTGAGGAAACAGATTAAAAAATAGAAAATAAAATTCTTAGGGTGAAACGTTAATAGTATCTATGGTGTTGGAATTTCCAGTTTAAGACCCTATTTAATACTGATTACCTTTTCATTAATTATATTGACAAATAATTTTCCTAGTTGATTTCCAATGACGATGAAAATGGGATGAAATAAAGTCTGTTTTATTTTTGGACTGGGGAAATGCCAGCCGAGCAGGAATAGCGATAATCATTAAAACGATACAAGGCATTCTGTGAATAGATGCCAACTATATAAAGAAGATTAGAATTTGAATTCTATCTGAGCTATATATGGTGGTAATTTTTTTTTTTAAGAAGTTAAGTAATAGATGGCATTTCTGATGGAAAATGGATTCCGTACTACAATATAGTCCGGGAGCGATCATGGGGAAAGCAAAATGAGCCTCCATTAACCACTTTAAGGGCGGATTTCACCGAAAGTTCAAGCCGAGCATTAGACCGAACGGAGGGAAATTCCGTCGTACTCATCGCCTATGTGCCCAGTGAACGATATCTAACAGTTCTCGAATGTGTTTGACACTTTTATGCGAGAGAAAGAGATTCGGATTGACGATGGGAATGAGAAACTTGGCTGAAGATTTTTGAAGCATGTCAACCAAAGGTCAATCAACATCATGTGGCAACTTGAGTGAGAAGAAATCTTGACCACACGCCTGTTTTATTTGAAGTTCTACACAAAGCGCTAAACCAAAGAAAGATGTATAAAAAAAAGGGACATATATGCTCTAAAAACTGCGTAGGCAATGAATTGAGCTTTGACAAATTTGTTGACGGAATTGTTTGTCAAATACGCAAGATTACTTTATTAATTTGTTATGTCATACTCTAATCGTATCTAATTAATTTAAAATGTCCGTTAGTTTACACCATATGGGAAATTTATGATGAGCCTCGTTGAATTATGGCCCAAATTCGTTAGTTTACTGTGAATTTTCATTCCTGTTGAACTATAAAAATACACTTGTTTTTATTTAAACTGATTAAGAAAATGAGGAATTGATAATTAGTTTGCAGTCAGTGGAAAGAAAGCACCAAACAAATGTTGGCCATAGCAAATTTTCGACATAGTTAAAATAACTGACAGCTAAAAATAGGACATCAAAAAAACATGCTACGCTTTGAAAAAGCATTCGTAATTAAAAAAAGGACAAAATGGAAATATAAAACAAAATAAGAAAGCCCTGGATCATTTCTAAGGAACACAAATGGCTCAAAGATGGGAAATGGTACGTATATCGGCATAAATACGCCTAAAATTATGAACACCACATGGTCCTCTGCTCCACCACAGCCATCTTTTAAACCAATTTGCTAGCCATAGAAATTTGAACACATGATATAAATAACAAACACCTTAATGGTGCAACAGTAATAATATTATCACATAGGCTTTCTAAGCTTACAATTATTATGTTTTTACGAAGGTTCGCTACAGCAGAATGAAATATGAACCCTCGGGGTGCCAGTGTTTTTTAAAAAACGCCATTTGAAAGTATGGTGGGTTCGAATGCAGGGCAGCTAAATTCGAACCAGGGACCTTTACCTTACAGTAATGAGTGCCGTGTCAACGCCTTAAACGTTGCGGCCACCGATGCTGGATCCCCCCTCCCAAACCTACAACAGCAACTTAAAACTTGTCTTGAACTGCCTAAGTACCCTAAAAACCTGGAATGTACGAATAACCTAACGCTAAGAAGACCCCAGGTCATAAGAGAATTACCTAATAGGGAGCCAACAAAAATTAAAAAAGAACCGGAATAGGAAGAATAAAACAAATATTTGGAAGGTATGCCAGGCATGGGGTAAGCAAAAAGACTACTTGCTAAAACAATCCGACGGGACAGGTCCTTCTCAACAGAAAGGAGTAGACATGTTCTAGTAAAATAAAAAATGAAACTACTTAATATCTTACTAAAAACTAAAGTCCCAGAGGGAATACAGACAGCCAGACAGCTGTGCAGGCTCTACAAGTATACGAGATATACTTGCCAAAAAAGAGCCTTGGAACACCTCATACGCCCAAATTCATTTGTTGGCATAAACTACAGTCACATTAAAAAAGAACTGGAGTCTTGTGTTACTAAAGAACAAAATAAATACTGGGAGCGAAAATCAGGCATGAGGCAAGCAAAAAGAGAAAATCCTACTAAACAGAAAGGAATTAAAAACAGGTTTATATACAGGACGTGCTCTAGTAAAATACCAAAAAAATGGAACTGCTAACAGATGACAAATGAAGACAAGTCTAAAACAGACAGAAACAGCAAAAAATCTTACCCAACTGCCCTGATAAAGCTAGGAAACTTCTATTGGACACAATAGACGTAAGTTTTTGTGAATTGTCATCGCTCTGTTCAATGAACATGATTGAATTTATTTTCGCTATTTTGATCCGTTAGACGCGATTCATCAGGCCATGACTTGTAAAAGATGGACAAAATAACACACAGCTAACACTGGGAAGATGAAAAAAACGCCCATGCAAATCAAACAGGGAGAATACGCGGACCAAAATGATCTGAAACGAATAAATAGTAACTTTTCTTAAACCGATCGATAAACTTGCTCACTCTACTTGTTCACTTAAACGTGTTTCGGCTTCATGCCCATTTCAGTGAGGGGCTCTGTCGGAAATAAGTTTTTTTTTTTATTAACATAAAGACGTATATGAAAGTGACAGGTTTGTAAAATTCACATTGCTGATCTCAGACTTTCCTTCAACTTAAAGTTCTGATAATTCAATACTGAAAAGATTCACTTATAATCGTTTGTATAGCTTATACACATATCGGTTACCTTTTTGACTTTATGGAGACAAAAGCTATAATTTATTTAGATAGTGTAAAAAACTAAACAAAATGGTTAGGCTTTTATTTTCATCATTGAAAATATCAAATTCTTGTCGTTCCTGATCTCCAGATATAAAACAACCCAAAGGTTAGATCCTAGCGACATCTAAGTTGTTAAGGACTTCTATAATAAACAGCACCAAAACAAAAAATATTTATTTATTTTCTTGATTCTGATTAATTTAATACGAAAACCTCTCATCTTGAGTAATATATTGAGAATTATTTAACTAGTTATCTGTTTATTATTAATTATTATTTCCAATTTTTATGCAAAGAGGGTTGAGAAGAAAACTAGTGTCACGAGCGGGAGTCGAACCCATGACCTTCGGCTCAAGACGCCGGTGCTCTGACCACTTGAGCTATCGTGACCTCCATCCCCCGAGACACTAACTTGTTCTCTCAAATTTTAATTGTACAATTTTGAGAATTGTACAATTAAAATTTAAACAGGATTCTCGTGGCAAGAACTGGGTTATTGTTTAATCTACTGGTAGTTGTTAGCCTTGGGCGAGACCGCTGACATTTTGTAACGAATTATCTGGGCAAGTCTCCCTAAATTAGTCATAATTTTTTTCTCTGGATCACATTGATATATAAAAAGAAAAAAGCCAATCCTTCAATAATACGAACTCGAGTTGTATGATCAAATACTCACTCGCGTTACTCACTGAAGATGGAGCAATGCCGAAATGCGTTTGAGTAGTTCAACACACTCTCGAAGGAAGACGGACCTAATAAGTACTCGCAGAAAACACCCATCGTCAACCCCATTCCTTTAATATTAGGTACAAAATAAAAAACAAAATAGATTTGAGGTTGTTGTACTTTCTTAACTCCTCCGAGCATTTTTAAAATTAAAAATATAAATCCATAATCATTATGATGTCTAAACTCCACAAACCTCCCCACCACATATCTTCTTACACTCTTACAGACCTATCAGCCTTCTCCCAGAAATGATTATTTGGAGATCGTGAGATGCGGTCTGGGGTGACGTAGGTTTTAGAAAAACATTTTCTTTATCGTGCCAACGTTTCGATCTTTATTGAGATCATCTTCAGGGCCTAGGATTTAAAAAGAAATTAATTTATACAATGCTAGAAAATTTTAGATTTTTTAGATTAATATTGTTTAATAGTATACATTAGCATTGTATAAATTCATTTTTTTAATCTAAAAAATATAAAAATTTTTAGCCCTGTATAATTTTTTTTGTAAACTTTCTAGCATTGTATAAATTCCTTTTATTTATTTATTTATTTTTTAATCTAAAATTTCTAGTATTGTATAAATTCATTTTTACACATCTTACATGTATTTGTAAAATTTAAACAATGTTTATAAATCCCAGGCCCTGAAGATGATCTCAATAAAGATCGAAACGTTGGCACGGTAAAGAAAATGTTTTTCTAAAACCTACGTCACACCAGACCGCATCTCATGATCTCCGAATAATCATTGACTAACGGCCACTAAACACCACACATCTCCCAGTAAAGTCCAAAGTCCTCGAAAGCTACGTTTACTTAATGTCCTTTCTTCACACCAGTTTTTTCATCCAGTCATTCCACGATTCAGTAATGTTTCATGTTTGTTCACACTATTTCCTCAGCTTGAGAGAACAGACAGGGTCGGACACCCTGGAATTCTCTTCAGCCTAAAGCAATTCCTACCCACTCCTTTCACTAAATCCTATCTAACAGATGGTCGCTTCAGAGTAAGCCCAATTCAGGCCGGCGTCCCACAAGGGAGCATTTTCGGGCCCATCCTGTTTAGTACCTATAAAGTAATAAACTGAACGAGGAGAAATGCACTGATACTTCAATGCACCCAAATTACATTCAAGTTAAACAAACAGCCTTGCCAACGTCTATACGTTAACAGTAAAGAACTACAAACATGTACATAAGTAAAATACTTAGTGGTACACTTAGTAGACTGAAGTAGAATCTTCACACAAGATTCAAGCTAATAATAACTAAAGTGTATAATTCATGTACAGGAAAGAAGGAAATATTATAAATAAATAAAACCCTACCATTTGATGTTTTACCCTTCATCTTGGGTTGCCTATCTTGGTAGGATCCTGGTAAGGATCAAATAAGTTCATAACCCCCGCAGAACACAGGAGGGAATCTCTCGATTTAAATCAAATCCATATTTTTTTACGGTTTTTTTAATGTGAAGTGTTCAAACTTTTAGATAACAGATAGATCGATCGATAGACTTTCTTAAGAAAAGAAGTTAATAAGGCGAGTGGCAAGTTTATAATAATAAAATAGCATAAAATCGCTTATTTTTTAGCTAAATTAAATTCCAAGAATTTAATCCAAGTACAATTTATTTTTGTGATGTTCCCATCACCACCGATACGAACATCACAATTATAATTCAACGGTCATCAAAAGTTACATTACAATTTATTTACAAGATTATGCAGAATATCACCCTCGTATTGCAAATTCACTATTTTTAGAGGAAGTGAATCAACGACTGCCCAATAACCACTTGATTTTTACAGATGGCTCTATAATAAGTGGTAAAGTCGGATGTGCCATTTACGACCCTACTAAGCAATTCTGTAGTAAAATAACGCTTCCCTCAATGATGTCTATATTTTCCGCAGAAATGTATGCTCTTCTGGATGCCTTGGATCATATTGCCACAATAGAAGGAACTGAGTTTTGTATATTGACAGATAGCAAAAGCTCTGTTTCTCAAATCCATAATTTTTCCCCTAAGACTAAATGTGACTACCTGGCGACCGAAATAGTTGGAAAAACATATGACCTAAATTTAAAAAAACAAGAAAGTAACATTTGGTTGGTGTCGCGGTCACTGCGGAGTGGTTCATAACGAATTTGGCGATGAATTGGCAAAGGAAGCTACATCGGGTCCAGAAGTCCAGTACGTCAAAATACCCAAATCTGATATAAAGAGGGTACTAACTAAAAAAACTGTCACAGGGATAAGGTAGGTTCTTTTTTTAAGACTTTCATTCCTGAACCCCGTCCCATTTCATTGATTTTCGCAATGAGGGGAAGCAAGGCGTTTTTTTTTCTTCGATTATCAGAATTAGGTCGAATCACTGCATATGTGGGGCTTATCTGAACAGAATTCGTATTAAGACCCTCTCCAAAATGTGAAACATGCGATGAACCCGAGACAATTCAACATATTTTGTTTGATTGTCCAGAGTATGAAGAAGCAAGAAATGCCATGTTTGAACGAATCTTTAGTTAGTTACAAAGAGGTAGAGAAGCCTTTCAATTTTAATAGGTTCTGAAAATGAAATGGTATTTAAAACATTGTTTGAATTTTTAAATAAAAATAAACTGAAGGCTTAATTACGAATTAATCAATCAATTAATTAACGCAAAATCTGTCTAATTATTAATTTATTAATAATTGACATTGTTACTTATGTAGTAGTATTTATATATTTATATTAGTAATTTATTATTTATTTATTTATCAATTGATTATTTATACCGCTGTAAATACTGATTTATTTATTTATTGACTATTTATATTGTTGTTTGTTAATATTGGTACATTTGTATAAATTATTTATTAATTATTTATTTTCTAATTGATTAATTAAGAGGTGAGGAGCCTGGGTAGTTCCGGGGGTGCTGGGTTGGCTGGCTGGGGTTGTCTCCGAGGGTGCTCCACATGTAAAGGGCAAATGGTCCCCGGAAAATGGAGCGGATGTGGACTTTTCCAGGGCCTCTGTTGCCATGTACGGTTTTCATCCACATCCTCCTAATGTTGCCGAAATTAGGTGTAACCCGAATGAGAAGCGGGCTTATCGGGTAGTGCCTTTTGGAGGTGGCTCGGGTGGGTTGGGCGTTGTCACCAACAAAATGACATTGAGAATGTCTGTAGGGCAAAGTAAAAAAAAAATCCAAAAATCGTTGAAAAGCTTAATTTAAGCGGTATTCATCAGAGCAAAATTGAACACTCTGGATATATAACTAGATTTACTGTTTTCAGAATTAGGCATTTTTCAGAAAAAGAACCGTTTGTCATCACATTATTAGCGAATAGTTTTTCAATCAAAGGGATCAAAGAATAACACCGAGAATTAAAGGAAACTATGCAAAAATACCAGTTGTAATTTACGTTTTGGTACATTACTACAGCATGTGATCAATTGAGACAATAATTATTAAAATAAACGATTCAATCAACTATCAAAGATGGAATGAAAGTATGGATATGACATTTACGCTTAGTTTTCAGCGGAGAAAGGGTGATAGGGCAAAAAATTAGAACAAGAATGGATTACTCATACAATTAGAAACGTTTCCTAAACAATGGACTACTCAAAAATATATCATTCGTCTATGAATTAATATAGAATATTTTCTTGGGATGTCCTGGTGAAGAATAAACACTCAGTTAAAAATAATAATGATCAGTGTGGTATAATTACATTGAGAAGGGGAAAGGTGAAGGAAAGTAGCGTGACCTCGAAGGATAGAGGAAAAGTAGACGAGAACAAAAGCTAAGAAAGGGAGCGTGGTATAAAAGAAAGGGAGCAGCCATTGCCCGTTCTTTAATTAATAACGAAATAGAAATAAATCGCAATAAAACTTGACCGAAAGCGTTTCCAATTTTTAGAACCGAAGTTTTCTGAAAGTTAAGAAATAGCAAGACAGTAGGCCTACGAGAAGGAAAAGAAAGATGTTGATGATCTTCAAAGACGAAAGAACTTTCTTCCCAAATGCTTAACACCCCACTCGTCTCTAAGACCAAGAACCTGTTTTTGTTTTGCCTTTTCACTTGTACTTAGATTAAGCTCGTGAAACTTACTGTCCTCCCAACGCCTTCCATTGTCTTTTACAAAGCTGAACCGTACGGTTTTCATTGTTATGCACTTTTCGAATGTTTTTGTTTTAAACTGTACGATATTATAAATGAGTTGTTTATAAACTAATTAATCGACAATGTTGAAATTGTGAAGCATAAATCTTTCTCTAAATAAATAAAATAATATTTATTTGTCCTTTCTCATTTGGAGTGGTAGAGATTACTCCCTTTGGCGCTTAAAATTTAAAGACTATTGTTTCAATCTCTGCTACAGGATTTCCTGGAAGATTTTTTTTTTAGAAGAATTCTTAGGAGTGTCGTATCTAGATTTGTATAGCTCAAGGGTTTCCTATGGCCTTTCTGTAGCTATAGCAGGGCAATTGTATGTATGTTCTGTCGTCTCTCACTCTTTTGTAGACGTAGTCGACACTGGTCATTTATTGATAGTCCCATTTTTTAAGGTGGTATTTTACTAGAGCATGTCCTGTAAATAAACCAATTAAGAGTTTTTAATTCTTTTCTGTCGAGTAGGATTTTCCCTTCCTCCCGTTGGG